CGGATAATCATCACAAAACCAGCCAAAGGAATCCATCATCTTAGTCATGAATTTAACTCATTTGGATGCTGATTTTGGAAAGGATTAAGAAGCTGCCTTGATTGTATTCTTTCTCCCTTATTATGTATATATAATTTCAGCCATAGGCCTTGTAAACCAGCATATGAATTAAATGAAAACTTTGTTTACTCTTTTGAGTATTCTCTTAAAATAGTGTGATGCTATTTTAGCCAAATTCCTAATTCTATATCTTAAGAGTGGTTCTCTTGAGTGTGAGTTTTAGGTTCTAGTTATTTGATTGAGTGTGTAATATCTTGATGAAATACTAGAGTTCAACCCCAAGTTAATCTAGAGGTGAATTTATCCTATAGTATTAATTTGGCTCCAAATTAAGATAAGAGTGTGTGTATCTCTTATCCCTGATTTGGAATTTATCCCATTCTTCCTAAACTCATCCTTCTCTCTTGATATTCCACTCTTCTTCAAATTATCAAAAAAAACCAAAAAGAACTCCTCACCATCTCCATATTTCGTCCAGCCCATTCCCAACTTATACACCTCCATTTTCTTCCCATTTCCAAGCCTAAAAACATCAACTTGATAAGACCCCCCCCCCCCCCCCGGTTCACCCCTAACAATATTGAGAATATAATGCTAATATTTTTATATTCTTACATAATAATTGGTATATGATTAACCTGTGTTGCATTATTTAAAGTTCCATTGAATTTACTAATAATTATTATTATAATTTTATATACAATTAAGTAATAATAATATTTTTAGATATGGTTAAATAATACTTATTATTATTAATTAAGTAATTATAATACTCTATTTGTTACTAAATCATGGTCCTCTTTCGGAAAATGTAAAAAATGCAACTCTTTAACAATAATTTTATTCATAAAACTATAAAAATAAAGAGTACAATTTACATAATTAAAAACTAATAAAAAAGTTCTAGAAATCATGTAGTGACATATCTATTTTTATTATCAATTAATCAATAAAAATAAATATGCAAACAAAATTTATTGAATGCTTGTAATAGTATAGATACTATTTTAAGATGGGAAAGAGCAATAATTTTAGTAATTATAGTCTCCGTCCAATAAAAAATTTTCTTATTTTGTATTTACAAACAATTAAAAAATTATGAAAATCATAAGAATATTAAAAGGTGGTTAAATATACTCCGTATTAGAATATATATATATATATATATATATATATATATATATATATATATATATATATATATATATATATATATATATATATATATAAAGAGAAAGATAGAGTGATTTTTTGGAGACATCTGGAAATAGAATATTATGTTAGCAGGATTTCTAACACCAGTATTATGATATCTACATTTTTAACATGATTAGTATGGGATAGACAAAACTTCTAATTTTGTAACATAGTATCCATATTTTCCAATAATTGGTTATTGTCAACGATTTTCTTTTTCTGCATCTGTAGTATATTACTCACTTTTTTGTTTCTTATAACACATAAATCTATAATAATAATATTATTATTATTATTTAAATTTATAATAATAACAATGATGATGATGATAGTAGTAATAGTAATAATATCAACTAATAATAGGTGTCTCAATTTGACTGGTGTCACGATCTTACACCACTTGGAGTGGTGTAACACTTGGAGTGGTGTAAGATTACAACTCCTCTAATAGTAATAGTAATAATAAAGTTATCATAATTATTTTTACTTTTATTTGGATCAGATTAGATAAGATCCATCCAGATCAGTCAGATCAGGTACAATCACATCAAACCATATCACATCCAATTAGATCAGACTAGATCTTTGAAAAATCAGATCCAGACCAGACAAACAGAACAAAGCCTATGTGAGGAGGATAGAAAATAGTTACTTGTCATGAATTTCGTTGCTCCCTGTTGTCTCTATCAGGACGTAGAAGTTGTAAGTAGAGGACGGTAATGGATTACGAACTCCATTTAAATGTTTCAAAACCTGTTGCAAACACCATCATGATAGTGCTAAATTACATTACTTAGTGATAATCTCTTTTTAATCACATTTGAGTTCATTATTCAGGAGCACTGGAACTGTTGAAAGTTCATAAATATTAACATTCAAAAAACATTACCATTTACTTGACCTTGATAAAGAGAGAAGTTCAAGTGTACCTACCATAGTAACACAACATATTTTCTTATCATTTCTAAAACGATATGACTTTATGTGCTGAACAATACACGGAGTAGAATACAACTAGAAAATTGACTGACTAAATTTGGCATCCATTCTTCACTGATTCATTGATTTAATTTTACTAGAGACTATTGCACAACTAAATTCTGGCACACTAAAAAGTGAGGGTGAATTACAGCAATTAGATAACATTTTCCATCTGCAAAAAAAAACTATACGGATGACGTTTTTGGAATTTCATCTCATTATTCCTTCACAAGAACTAAGAAGGTTGTGACACAAAGAGTTTACATGCTAAAACTTTTAGTCTTTTACATGATGCATTTTTCATAAATTAGTGTTATCTAACTTTTGACGATATATACTTAATATCACCAACCCCACAACACAGTTGGAATTAATTATATGATGTTGTTGTTGATGATGATATAAATATGGAATACCATCTTTTCAAGGACACTTGAAGCAAGCACAATAAGGAGGATAAAGTGCACGAAGCAAATGCGCCCTCATTATTGATCTTTCAAGGAGCAAATAGTTTACACACTTCCCAACTTATGAAAGGTGCAAGGGTGCAAGCTATATGGGTTAAAGGATATCTATTGGGGCACAAAAAATTAAAATGATTTTATACATAAATCATGGCAGCAGAGGAAAAAGTACACCAGGTTTTTTAGTAACACCACTTCCTGGTCAAGGGAATGTACACAAACAACACATAACACTTACCAGATCCATTGCAGTGGAATCCAAATATTCGAATGCAGACAGAATTTCCCCGAGCTTTTTTTTTGCATTCCACAAGAGTTTCTATGCTCAGGATCACCAAAAACATAAAAGTTATAATTAAGGTAGTAGCGTAAGTCATAAATCTATGACCAGATATGGCTAAAGGCGCAAACTATTCCAAAGCTGAACAAAAAAAACTCAAAAGTGGATGTTTCTTCTCGGAAAAATAAAATCATAGAGTGAATGCCACATGATAGTCCTAACAAACTAACTGTGTACTTCAATCAAGTCACCAAACAATTCAAAATCAACATGTACCAAAAAAGGAAAATAAACTCTTGATGGAAGTTATCAAACAGATCCAAGCAACCAAAAAACAGAAATAGAAATTCAAAAGTACCGTGAAATGAGTTTCAGAACAATATCTCGTATTACCTGGCAGCTGGCATAATCATTGCAAGCAAGAAAGCATAGGTTTACTGAAGACAACTTTGGAGGAGTAAGTATGGAAACCTTAGTTATGATCCCCAGGGATCCTTCACTTCCTAGATGGTTAAACCGCACACAAGAATAAAACAGTTGTTTAGAGTATAAACAAAATCCAGAGCTGGAAGGAAAAGGAGTATAAGATTACGTTATTTCACCAATAAATAAATGCTTCAAGTCGTATCCGGTATTATCTTTTCGTAAAGTTCCAAGCATGTCAAGCACAGTGCCATTTGGTAAAATAGCTTCAACACCTGAAGATTAGAAAGATGAAGTAATTTCAACATGTGACAATAGAAACTGAATCTATGTATGGGTTTGTAGAGTCACATCTTGCATTATATGAATACATGGATAATGATAAAAGATTTTAAACTGTACAATGAAAGGAAAAGATAGTCAACATTTTGAGAGACTCCCCTCCCTACAACCTCTCTCTAGAAATTGTGATTCAAATTGGAAATTAAGAATAGGCAAGTAGCTTACGTTGACTATGGGATTACCTAGAGATTTTCGCACAGCACATGCAATGTATGACATCATTGAGACATCATCCCGATAAAGGCATCCACGGCATTACTTCTACCGCTTACACTAAGTTTGTCCCCAAGATCAAAAACTGGAAAACCCTCAACAAAGAAGTGAAAGGATTCCCACATGCACTCCGCACTCCTCAATTAGTTTGCCCAACAAGTGAACTAGCAGCTCCAACAGACTCCGATGAGCCGAATCCATTGTGTAATATCACAAATGAGCAGATTTAAATCAGTGAATCATCAATAAAAGAAAGGATCCCTAGTATTGATGGCACATTCCGTTTGGAGATTTCAATAAGGAAACAAGAAAGACGTAGTGAATGAGACGACAACTTGGGATGGTATGCCAAATGACCAACGCACACAGAAATCTTAACTGGACCAAATTACCTTGGTAAGATCTTGTGACAGTGAAAAACCAATGAGAGCTGGTGGGATGAATGAATGTAGAACCAAACCTAATCTCCCAGTTCAAAGGATAAAATCTCAACGCCCCTTATCATACTGGAATATATCGCATTGTTGAGCATGGAACTCGTCCGCATCAAGTTTAGCCATGCCCAGAGTGTAATAGATGTGTTTGGGAGGATCATGGAGGCAAAAATTGTGAGACCGAATGGATTCAGACGTGACGCAACCCATGGAAGCAAAAATTTTGTAAAATAGTAGTCGTAACAAAGATAGCTGTGGAAGAGAATAATAAAGTGTGTCACCTTGCACGATTGATTGATTACTACAAAAATAACTGACTCGCAACACACGTTCAGCAGCCGCTCTATGATATTTGATTTACTCGTCTGACGTCTCTGTATATGGAGTATTTGATTTACTCGTTTTTCATTTGGACTCTATTTTGGGATGGGCGATCTTGAAATGGGCTTACAAACAAATTGAGTACATGTAGGCTATGGTTTGGACTAAGTTTTGGTCGGTTTTGATTCTTAAATCCCATAACCAAAAACCGACCCCTTAACCGATTAAACCAAAAAAATGCCTGCCCACCAAAACTGAAACCGAATTTTCAGTCGGTTTGGTTTTTCAATATCGGTCGGAGGGTCAGTTCGGTTAAAATGCTCACTCCTACGTTCCATCACACCCCCATGTTCGAGCATAGGATTAGGTCCAACTTGTGACATAAGAAATTAATCCAAGACTTATTCAATGCATTTTGTTAAAAGGTCTACAAGTGTTCACCCGTCTTCACAAAACCCGTAGAGATAAAACCTGGTTGAAGACATGATTGGATGCAATGTGAATAGCACCATAACATAGCTGAAATTTAAGTCGTGAAACCCATTTCTCTTAGTTTATGACAAAGTGAAACTATTTTTCATGTTCCTTGTGTCCATAGGCTACAAGAAACAAGGAATGTGTTGAACATCAAACCGATATTCAACGATTGGGAATGAAAAAATACTGAGTCACAACACTTACTATATATGCTATGTTTGGGCGAGTCAGTGTTAGAGCCATAGTTGTTAAGGTGTCGCCTAGGCAATAAGGCTCTATGCCATGGACGCCTTATCTATTTGCCTTGCCCATAAACCCTCGAGGCGTTAAGGCGCTCGCCTAGGCATTGTCTTACCCTTGCCGTGGTCGCCTTACCCTAGCTTCAGGCCTAAGCGCCTAGTCTTTTTTAAAATTTAAAAGCCAAATTTAAAATGTTTTGACTTAACATCGCCTTATCTCTTGGGTCTAAATGATGATGAGTATCCCGAAGATGACTATGGTGTTGACTTATCTAGTGTCCATGATGAGTCTATGGATATAGATATTGATATCCATATGAATGACACGTTCAAGGATAATTTTTAAACATGCATGTTTGGGTGATTAAACTAGTAGGATGGAGATGAACTTTTATTTGAATTGTGTTGTTATTTGTGATCTTCTAAATGCTTGTGAACACTTAATTGTTTGTCTCAAATTATGTGCAGACTTTAATTACATATGTTGTGCCATATATCTAATTGTGGTTACATTATGTGTGTGTGTGTGTGTGTACACACACACACACACACACATATATAGGTTGCCTAATTGTCACCTAGGCACGCCTAGTCGCCTAATATGAAGGTACGTCGACGCCTTGCCTAGCCTTGGCGCCTTAACAACCTTGGTTAGAGCATTTAATTTTCTCACCAATCTTCTATGTCTCTCTGGAGTCTGGACCTAGAAATGGCTTAGCCTATGTCAAATGCAGATTGTTCATCATATGAGTACTTCATGATTTGGCAGATAAATGTAACAGAATCAATAACATTCATGGTGACAGAGATATTTCATTTTACTCTTTGTTACCTCGACACCAAGAAAGTACTTCAAGTCATACAATCCTTTGTTCAGAATTGGCTATGAAGGAATGTCTTGAAAGACAAGATGCCTGCGATGACACTTACGGTGATGATGATACCATCCACATGTAACACTAATAAGATAATTCCACCATTTGACCTTCTAAATGGCACAATTGTTTTATGCCTTCCAATTTCTAAACCGCACAAATGGTTTACCAAACTTCCCAAACCAAGCACGGATGCAAAGTTTTAAGTCATTCATAGATTTGTGAAATCGACACATACTCCCCTACGAAACAACCCCCAGAGGTTCTCCATATGCACTTCTTCAAGATCCCCGTGCAAGAAGACATTTTTTAAGTCAGGCACGTGTAAAGGCCGATCATATCTAACTACCAATGAGATGAAATTCTCAACCCGGTAATTAACAGTACTTTCTTCATTCAGTCAGTGATTATTTGATCCTAAAAATGCTATCTAAGCCATAGGAGAAAAAGTATAGAATAATCAATACCGTAAGTCTGTGCATAACCCTTTGCAACCAATCGAGCCTCCAAGCAAGTAATATACCCATTTGGATTTACTGTGACTGCATTGGCCCACTTGCAAGTTGCCACCAAAAGACTTATTTGTAATTAAACTCACCAAATCCCATGTACCATTATTGTCTAAGGAATCCATTTCTTCTATCATGGCACTTCGCTACCCGGGATGAGATAACACTTTCTTAATTAACATGCCTAGGCGAGGCCAAGGTGAAGAAAATAAAGTAATTTATAAAGCATTATAAAAACAAAGCACTGAAGCCCAACCACTTAAAAAAATTAAGCACTAGAGTAAAAAACAAAAGTAGGAGAGGCCAAGGTGATGCCTAGACGAGCGAGCTCTCATGGCGAGAGTAAATGGGCGGCTAGACGCCTAAGTGACACCGTGATAACTATGCCCCCCTCCCCCTCCCTTAATCGCTGCTTTGGAAGAATTAATTCTGCTAAAACATCAATTAAGGAAAGGGGGTGTAGGGGGCTAGAGTGGGGGTACGGGTGGGGCTAGAGCAGCGGTTGGAGGTAAGAACCGTCAATTTTACGAACGGAACACCGTAGGTGTTGTTATTGAATTGGTGTCGCAATTGGTTGGTGGCAATATACTGAAGCCCAACCACTTAAAAAAATTAAGCACTAGAGTAAAAAACAAAAGTACTGGACTAGGAGAGGCCAAGGTGATGCCTAGGCGAGCGAGCTCTCATGGCGAGAGTAAATGGGCAGCTAGACGCCTAAGTGACACCGTGATAACTATGCCCCCCCTCCCTTAATCGCTGCTTTGGAAGAATTAATTCTGCTAAAACATACATTAAGGAAAGGGGGTGTAGGGGGCTAGAGTGGGGGTAGGGGTGGGGCTAGAGCAGCGGTTGTAGATAAGAACCGTCAATTTTACGAACGGAACACCGTAGGTGTTGTTATTGAACTGGTGTCGCAATTGGTTGGGGTCAATATACACACACACACACACGGATATATATATATATATATATCGCCTAATATCTGATGTTAGGCCACTCTTCCACTTGGATATCTTTGGGAATCTTGTTAGAGAAATAATAGGAAGAACAAATCAAATGCAGAATAGAATTCTGATTTTTTTATTGTGAACTATATACAGGAATTCTATGTTCCTAGAATATTTATAGACACCAACCAACACAACTATTGGTACTAATCAACACATCTATTACTAACTAATACAACTTCCAGAAATAACTACCTATAATCATGGTTTTAAAAGGGGAAAAAGGCGGTCTGCCTCGAGGCAGAAAGGCGGTAAGGCGGTCAGATCTCGCCTCAGAGGCGTCCGCACCAGGTGGGATCTGTGAGGCGCACGCCTTGTTTTTCCGAGGCCGTCCAAGGCGGTTGAGGCGATAAGGCGTTTGTGAGGCGGTAGCCTCGGTTTGGATCTTGTTTCGTGGGATCGGCGATTGACCAAAACAAGCGGAATTTCGATCGACAGGTCAAGCGCCTCTGTTTTTACCCGACCAGACTCTTCCGAGTTCCGACTCTGTAATTTCTTTTTTTTCTTTTTTTTGACGACTCTACTCTCTTTTTACGAAGCTCCCAGAGCTCTACTCCCTATTTCTTTTTTATTTTCTTTTTCGGACGGCTACTCCCTGTTTTCTTATTGCACTTGTGGTCTTATCACAATTTTCTTTACCCAGATACTATTTTCCTTTTATTGAGCTTTTTTAATACTCCATATACTCCGTTTGTATTTACTCCATTCTTCCTTCACTTTTTTATTCAGAACTTTTTTTACTACGCCTACAACTTTATTATTTTAGGAATCAAGTTTTAAATGATTTGTGACACTTAAGTATTGTGTTTTCTTTAACTAAAACATATTAGTGTTACACACACACACAGACACATACACACACACACATACATACATACATACATATATAGGATCTTACAATCTGAGTTACGATATCACGAGTTACAATCTTTTTTTAGCCCATAGATCCTACGCAGTATCTCGAGTATGACTACCTTGAGTATAATTTATGAAATCTGAAATCATATTATTAAATAAGTCCCCTTTTGACCATTATATTTTTGAAGGTTTGTGTCATTTAATATTAAATATATCAAGTCACTGATGTTTCGTGATGATTTCAATTCTAGATTCTTTTGAAAGCTGAATTTCATGTCATTTATTGTTATTAAATATGGTGGTTTTTTAGTCTCTTGGTTGTGATTTGTGCAGTACCTTAAACTTTGTTTTGTATATTAATGTTTTAGACGATGATAGGCTGAGTTTTGAGTAGTCTAAAACTTGGAGAATCAAATTGTAGTGTCAAAATAATACCATGAATATGGATTATTTAATTTCCTTTTTATTTTACCCTTTTTTTGTTTAAATGAAAACCTATGTATGATTTTATGATTCAGTTTACATAATTATCCTCTATTTTTTGTACCTAAAGAGTTTTTATTATGGTTTTTTTTCCAAGTTGAACTGAGGCTTACGCCTCGTTCCGCCTCGAGGCTTACGCCTCAAGGCATTTTGCCTAACCGCCTTGAGGCTCGTTTTCGCCTTTTAAAACCTTGCCTATAATTTCCAGAAACAACTACCCATAACTGTCCCGTTTATTTTTAAAATTTAATTCTAAACTAACTAACTTCTAACCAGGAATTAAACAATACGATTAAATCTAACAATCACCCCCCTAATCGTTGTTTGTTCACACCAATTTTCACAATAATGTTGGTTCATCATCATCTTCAATCAAATTTGCAATGTCTTCCTTTTGATCCCATTTTTCGACATTCGTTCAAAAAATGTCCTAACTCTTTGCAATTGAAACACTTAATGTGACTCTTATCCCGTTGAAACGGACCACCATCCTGACCTTTCCTGGACACCCGACTTCTACCTCAGCCACGTCCAAAGTCTTCTCGGATTGAGCTCCAGCAACCACAATGCTCACATTTGTGCTCTTGAACCTTCTCTTTTCCATCACCTTTAGTGAATAATAGTTTACCATGTGTATCTCCTTCCTCAGTTGGGTTTCTGATGCGTTCCTCGAATGCTTTCAATCTTCCCACCACTTCTTGAAACGGCATTGTGTTAATGTCAGCAAACTGTTCAATTGCAGCAACAATCTGTATGAACTTTTCAAGAACAGAACCCAAAAGCTTTCGAACCAATCTTTTGTCTTCAAATGCAGACCCAAGGTTGTTTGCTTGTGTTGCAAGTTGACTAATTTTACCAGCAAAATCATCAAGTGACTCATTGTTTTTCATCTTTAGAGTCTCAAAATCTGATTCAAGTGTCTGTAATCGCGCCGCTTTAACCCTGTCAACACCAACGAAGCGAGTCTTCAAAGCATCCCAAATTTCTTTTGCTTCAGTAAAGTGAGCAACTTGTAGTACGATCTCTTCTGGCAAAGCTTGAAATAGATATGCTATTGCCATATTGTTCTTCTTTGGATCGATTTCTGTTCCTGGTTCGATCACCCCCAAATCCCATTAACATTAAAAATTGCTTTAATCTTCACGGCCCATATAGTGTAGTTTGTAGCAGTTAGAATTGGAACCTGAAAAGATAGTGAACTATTTTCCCTTGTAGTCACAATGTGTCTGTTGTCTTCCATTGCACGACTTTAATTCCTTTGACAATTTTCACAAAATTCTCAGACTTTGATTCCTTTCTGAAAACAACCAAAAAACAAGCCCCTGCTTTTTCGTCTTCCAAGCCACTAAACGAAAGCTACCCCGCTGATTCGCTTTTCCCGCACTGTTTGGTTGGAATGCTTCTGCCAAAGGAAAAAACTAGCCACTTGCTATTCTTGTCCTAGGCGAGGAAGAATCTTGTCGAAGATTTTTGATCTGTTGTCAAGGATCTCTAATGCTCCGTTATACAAGATGGCAGATCTCCCTTTTCTTGCTGCTGATCGCACACGCTCTGATACCAATTGTTAGAGAAATAATAGGAAGAACAAATCAAATGCAAAATAGAATTCTGATTTTTTTATTGTGAACTACATACAGGAATTCTATGTTCCTGGAATATTTATAGACACCAACCAACACAACTATTGGTACTAATCAACACATCTATTACTAACTAATACAACTTCCAGAAATAACTACCTATAATTTCCAGAAATAACTACCCATAACAGTCCCTTTTATTTTTAAAATTTAAATCTAAACTAACTAACTTCTAACCAGGAATTAAACAATACGATTAAATCTAACAAATCTCATTCCTTATGGCGCACTCTCTGGCATCTTGATTTTAGTGTGGGACTGGAGTTGGCTTCTATTTGGCTTCTTGTGTTGGTTGGAGCTGAGTACTTTGTGGATTTGTGCTCTATCTATTGGCACACTGCATTTCGGTTTTGGGCTTATTGGATTGGGCTGAGTTTGGACTTGTCATGTTATCCTTGGCAGCTTTAGCATCATTCTTCTGATTTCCAATGGTTTGGGTTTGATCTGTGTTTGGGCTTTTCACTTGGTGGTTTGTGTGTGGGCCATGGTGTTGGCTTGGACTGTTCACGGGCTTCTGGGTATATGGCATAATAGCATTGGGCTTTGGCTTTCTGGTTTGGACTGGCATTGGACCTTGCGGCTTTGAGTCTTCTCTTTTGGCACATGGAATTCTTATTTGGGCTTGATACTTAGCAGCATTTTGATGCTCTTCAATTGGACTGCTGTTGGGCTTTTATTTTGTTCGACATCTGGTCCCTTTCTTCTGAGCATGACGTATGGCGTGATTGGATTGGGCTTTCGGCATCACAGAGCTCTAGTTATGGACAATTTTGGATTCGGGCCTTCATCTGCTTTCATTCATGCAATTAGGCTTTCAGATTTGATCTCCTTATTTTAATATTCATTACTTTATTTTAGCATGAGCTTTCCTAGCATAATTTACCAGTTCTTGGCATTTTGTTTTATTTTTTCATCCATTAGGAGTATGGAGTATGTTCCAACCTGCCTGACATTGTATTATTCTTTTGCTTATTAATAAAATTACCGTTTTGGTAAAATAAATGCCTCATGAAAAGTATTCCATAGAGATGAAATATCAAATAAGACTCCGAGTGTAACATTGATACCCCTTTTGGACACTTGAAGAACCAAAACGATACATTTTAATGATTTGGGACAGAATTGGGTAACTTGAGGACAAACATCCCTCACAAAACAAGTGCTGCTAAGATTTATGGCTCAATAGGAAAAAAAGGCATATCAGTAAAGAACACCCCTCACAATTTAAGTTTATTTTGTTGAACTTGAATGTTGGTGCAATAGTTGGAGTTACTTGCATGTGACTTGGAGACAATAGGTTCAAGTCATGGAATCAGTTTCTCGCACATACAAGGTAAGGCTACCTAAATATGATCAGCTAATTGTCTCTGGCCCTTCCATGGACCCCACATATTGCTGGATCTCTTGTAACACCAGATTTCCCTTTAAAGGTGCTTTTTGCGGAACCAGTACATTTTTAAGATATTCATGCTTCAAGAAGTCCTTTTCACTAAGATAATATTCAGGTTTAGTATTCTCTTGCTCCATTAATACAACTTTATTTTTTTGTTAAAAAACTTTCACATGAATTAAAACTAAATGTAGGGCAGGAACTCACCAAGAACATTCCCATGGAGTGAGCCATAGCGGAGAAGTCGCAATCCACCAGCATTTGTTGAGACGTTTCCACCAATTTGGCAGCTTCCCTTAGCCCCTAGATCTAGTGGCATAACAAACCTAATAGAAGAAAGAGCTCATATTCACTTTAGAGCAAGATGATAAATGATACAGTAGCAAAGAAGCTCATCCCACACCTTAAAAACAAGTACAAACCATAGTTGTCACGGTGTCGCCTAGGCATCCTGGCAGTCATCTCCTCTTGTCATGGTATATCGCCTCGCCTTTTTCGCATCCCTCGCCTAGGCCTCGCCTAGGCGTCTAGGCATCGCCTTTTTAAAATCCTTTATGCCTTTTAGTCAGTGATTTTTCCATACTCGGTATTTACTTTGGACTAAGAAGTCGCATATTGTTTTTTAATCATATTTCGTATTCCATGTTCTTCTTTTTTCATACTATGGTGTGTATATTTTTTATGTGTATTTGAAGTTTTGACTAGGTTTAGAGGACACATACGTTTATATTTATATTAGTGCTACTAATGTTTACCAATCCTAATTTCTTGTGTTGCTGCGTAGATTGCCTAAGTGTTGCCTAGGCAGTCGTCTACGTGTCATGGCGGTACAATGGCGCCTTGCCTTGGCGCTGTGACAACTATGGTACAAACCTTGTTGAGGGAAAAAATAAGAATGGGAATATATATAAAAGAAGATAAACTTGAGACGAGTCTGTAAACTATAGTAGGTAACATAAACTTCACCAAAGTAAAAACCCAACTAGTTGAACCGCAAGAATAAAGTAACATACACATTCAAGCAATGTTGAATCACACAAATCTTAAGTTCGTGGCTTCACGTAATCACATAGCATGTATCCCATACATATCAAATTGTTCCTAAGATGAATATATTTGTGTTATAATCACCACACTCAACTAATAATAAACTGGACACTGGAGCAATTGTGATGGAGCACACAAAGGAAGCATTTTTATAAAGAGGTAGTGGAATGACAACAGACACAATAAACGCAAATATAGAGTGGTAAAACAATAGCACACACCAGATTGTGTAAGTTATTAAATTTCAAGGTTAATTCGAGAAACTTACCCTTGGATATCTAGGAAAGAATTCAGGTTTTCCAAAATGCAACCTGCTTCACATACTAGTATACCACTAACCTGCAAAGGTCACAAGTGGTAATCAAATCCCGCAACCCGGAACTATAAGAAAAACAATGATGAAATATGTAGGTGGAGACTTTGATACGATAAAAATCATAACCAACTGATTACGCCAGAAAATTTGTCATTTCTCAAATCGCAATGAATAACTAACAATAAAGAGAAAGTGTAATGAATTAAAATATTTTGATTTACCTTGTCAAAGGAAATTATTTTGTTCATCGAACCGAGATTGATAATCACCTGTGAAGTTTTTCAAAATTAAAAAGATAAAAATTTCAAAAACTATACTCCCACTATCCCTAAATGAACTTTCATTTATACTATGCACAAGGCCAAACTATATCCTCTTCCCTTGTTTTTTTAATCTTAATCATTTATTTAAAAAGTATAGTCATGACACCTTTTGTTTTATTGAACTTTGGATGTATTAAAATAAATTGAATTAAAAATAAATTGGTCAAACATCATAAACAAGACCCTTAAGTTTATTATGGGACCGAGTGAGTATAAATATATTCCAACCTCTAAATATACAAGAACAACAACAAAAATAACAACCCAGCTAAATCCCACGCGAGTAGGGCCTTGAGAGGTGTGTGTAAGCAGACCTTGCCCCTACTCGAAAGTAGAGAGTATGTTTCCAACAGAACCCCGGCTCAAGTTGCACTGATATAAAAGATCGTAGGCAATATATAAAGCAGAGAGAAAAAACTAGAACTAATGAAAGGAAAGTAATGCAATCAAGTTGCACCAAGCAAACACGACATACAAAGCACAAGCACTCAACAAGAACAAGAAACAACCCTCTAGCCAAAGGCGCCTACCCAACTACTCTAAGTCTTGCCTTATCACTTCCTTCCAACTCTTCCTAAGTCTACTCCTTCCCCTACTTCCAAGCCTCTCGCATCTCCGCATTGCGGTGCCAGCATTTGGCCGCTTCACATGTCCAAGTCACCTCAATCTCGCTTCCCGTAGCTTATCTTCGAGAGTTGCCATGCCTACTCGACCTCGGATAACCTTGTTTGAAATCCTATCCAACCTCGTCTTCGCACATATCCACTGTAACATCAGCATCTCGACAACATGCAATCGACGAACGTGAGTTATCATAACCGCACAGCACTTTGCCGTATACAGCATAGTTGGGGTAATGTTGTTATACACTAGGCACATGCTTTATCTCATCATTTATACAAGATTATACATGTCTCTCCATATAATCTTCCATGTATTGTCTATGTACTAATGTCTCCTTATGTTTACCTAAGTAAAAAGTATTCCAAAACTAAGGTTTGTCTCCTGAATGTGTATACATTGTATGCCAAATATATTGTGTGTGATATATTCAAATTACATGCACGAACCACTCTATTTCATCATGTACAATAAAAGTGAAAGTGCTAAGTGGACATATTATGAAGGAGTACATCTAGCTAGACATGGCCTATATTGCATAACTCATTCCAACTTGCTCATTTTATGTCTTAAACAAAATATATTTATTTGGCTAAATTTCTATAAGCATGGGTCACTGGTTCCAAGAAACAAACAAGACTCTAACCTCATCAAACACAGGAACACTCCCTCCCACAAGGCCTGTATTTCCACCTTGAGGAACAACAGCAAGGCATCTGGAATTGCAATGTTTAAGAATCTGAGAAACCTATGGAAGCGCATGAAAATTATTAAGGCCAAAGACATAGATACATTCCATGGAGCAAGTTACTACTAGTTCGATAATAGAAAGTCAACCTCTTCTGTGCTTCCTGGTTTGAGCATAAGTTTACTTGCACCCTTGTATTTCTGCATCCAGTCCATGTTCGCCGTCTTAAGTGTTTCCTTATCTTCAACTACACCTCTTTCTCCTAATATCTTCTTGAAATGGCTAATATCATCTGAGTTTATTGTTGAAAATTTTGGGTTCCTCCTGATTGCAGTTGGTTCTGATGAAAAACATCTAGACTGTACACTGCAACTGGTTGCACCCAGGTAATATGGTGACCGGCAATATGTGTGAAGGTATTTTTGGTAATTCACAATATGAGGAATTAGTGATCCAAGAGGTTTGGGAAAACCGTACATAAAACCTGTAACCCAGTACAGAGAAGGTATAGTTATGCAACACACAATAAAAACGCTTATACGATCATCACTCATTTGTCATTTGTAAATTTAAATTTCCACTTTTTTAATTAAATGAAACTATTTTATTCTATTTTTATTATAATAAAAAAAAAACCCCATCTTAGGCTGCGCCAGGCCCAGCTCAGCCACCGCCCGTCCTGACGTTTTCCCCAGTCCGCGAAGTTCACAAATGACTGTGACACTGTATTTTGTGGTTTCTTATTCGTGGTTTTAGGTAGCTTCTTGCTTTTGGGAAATGAGTGAATTTCCTAGAAAACAATGCTTCATTTAAAATGAATGAATTTTCTAGACAGCATTTCATGGTAGCGGTACCTGAAGCTAGGCAACCGGAAGAAGTGAGGAAATGGCGGTTTGATTGATGATCAAGAAGTTGCTTAGAACCACATTTCAGTAGACGATTGGTAGCTCTCCAGATCTCCATGTTCTGAAGAAAATTAAAATGAGAGAAGAAAAAAATGGAGAGGCTCTTGCTTTGTTGCTGGATTCGGCCTTGGCTACTTTGTTTGTTGCTGAGCGGAGGTGAATCTACTCCATTGGAGATGGCGGGGGCTTGTGGCCGTCTAGGCGTAAGACTGGGTTGAATCTACTCCATTGGAGTTAGTCTCTCGCTAACATTTTTCTCGGGAAAAATCTAATTTGTACACCTGTAGTGGAAGTAGAACTACCCTTTTTCTCTTATCCTAACGTATGATGATTCTGATCACTTGGTTAGAGAAAAGAAACTAAAATAAAAATTAAAAAACACTACCAAAAAACAATTATGAAAAAAATTAAAAGAATGCAGAATGAAAGTTAAATACTCCTATTATACACTAAAAATTGCTAAAATAAAGAAAAAGTACTAACCTAAAACCAACTTATCAAGTACTCTCACACTTAAGATCTGAACGTACTCGCTTAACACACCAAACAAAATAGAATAAAAATAGGCAATTGATATCTACACTCCACATTTTACTAGTTGCACTCCATTTTTTTTATTTTTTAAAAGATTGACAATTTTTCCCTTTCAATTACAAATACCTCATTTTCATCATCCCTTTACATCATTAATATTTATATTAACTATTTAAAAATATTTATAATTTAGAGGATTAAATTATATTATACTAATTAATACTTATTTTTTAGGGAAATACTTATTTAACAAATTTTATAATATTGTTATAATTTTTGTTTGTGTATTTAGAAACACACCAAATAGTTATTTTAATTAGTGCACCGTATCATAAAGTCTTAAAATAAAATATACTATAATTAATTGAAAATTTTCAAAAGAAAAATATGGAATTCTATTAATTACCAACTAGTAACGTGTGGAGTGTAGATATCATCAAGAAAAAATAAATACACTTTATACCCCCTCCACATTTTAAGACTTTGTGCCCATTCACTTAAGATTTTGAGGAAAAAGTGAGCTACAAACAATCCTACAAGATTGGAGAAGGGGATTTTGAAGAAAAGTGAGCTACAAACAATAGGAAACTAAGGCTTTGTTCGTTTTAGTTATAAAAATAGAGTTGTACATTGAAAAATACTAAAAAAAATTGGAAGAAAATGGAGGGAGTTGAGAGAAACTAGAAAGAGTTAAAAAAAACGAGAAGGTATTAGAAATTTTTGAAAAAAATAAAGTGTAAAAAATTCATTCAATTAAACAATTACCTTCATAAATATGTAAGAAAACTAATCTCGAATAAAAAGGAAATCATTCTTTGTTTGCGTTTGAGGTGGGATGTTATAATTTGAATATATGATGTTATTGTACATTCATCATTTATAAATATTTTTTTACTCGTTGTTGGAAAAAACTAGAAATTAACTTTTACAACCCAAATGAATAGACACTACGTTGTAGTTCTTTTAGGCTCTAAAAATGATACTCTCTTCGTCCCTAAATTGTAGATCTTTTTTATTGTAATTAGAGCACCGGAAATGGGTGCAACGCCCAACGGTGTTAAGGCGTGTTTAATGCTTGGGGGAGTTAAACACCGCCTCCTTCACTGTCATTCAGGCGTCAAATAGCCTGTGTTAAAGCTTTGACGCAGCAACGCTCCAACAAAGCCGCCCCCCAATGGTCCAAATTATGGTCATTAGGCATTTTTAGAAAAAAATATTTTTTCAACTATAAATATCCCTTATTTTATAAAAAAACACGCAAAATATTATGATTCTCTCTCTAATTTCTTCAAATATATTCTATTTCTTTTAATTCTCTCTACAAAATATTCAAAAAAAATGGGACCATCTTTACCTGGCAATGAAAAAAGATTTCTCATTTTTTGTTGTTTCGCGATGGGCTGTTATCAATGGTGGCAACAAAGCCAACGAGAAAAAGTTGAATCATCTCAAGGCTCAACCCGACGTGAGTGTTTAAACCATGATCGGGCGGCTGCACACGAATCACTACTCAACGACTACTTCAATGCTTCGTGTGTTTAGACATCAGAGGATTTTAGTAATGATTTTCAGATGAGTCGTTTCTTGTTTATACGCATACTCGCAAATATTGAACGTGTAACACCCTAATCCGTCCAGGTCTCAAGCCCCTCTCGGACTAAAGTATTAACTTGGTAATCATAAAAATTTAAAACATTTCAAGCACTTTTATTTATCACAATAATATTTTTCTTAACATAAACAGTACGGAGTTTTCAATGTTGCGGAAGCTTAACAAATCATAAACACAAAACATAATTTATGTATGTCATTCATTTCAAACCATCACATCCATCCCAACTATCTCACCTCCGTCTGCCTCCAGGATCATGTCATATCATTCGTTCTATTTACCTGCGTGTAGCAAATAAAACATACTACACGCTCAACATTAAAGCTAAGTAAGAATATCTAAGGTGTCGAACATCCATATAAATTGAACCTCAATTCATAATCAAATCATTTGATATCATGCACATAATGTTCAATTCAAATATTCATCATTCATGATTTTGATAATGTTTGTTCATATCAATACATGTTATTCAATTCAGATATTCAATATTCATTATTTCGACAGTGCTCTTAAATTATTCTTAACCTAAGGCCAATGATAACAACATTCTTAGCTACTCTTAGTCTAAGGCTAGATCATAACAATGCTCTTAGCTATTCTTAGTCTAAGGCCAAATCATAATTATGCTCTTAGCTATTCTTAGTCTAAGGCCAAATCCATATTTTCATAATCAGACCCTTAAAGAGCAATTATTTACCAGACGCTTAACTATAATTAGTTAAAGGTAATTGGCAACCGGGCACTTAAACTATAATTAATTTGAGACGATTGATTTCCTGACGCTTAAACTATAATTAATTTAAGGCAATTGATTTCCCGATGCTTAAACTATAATTAGTTTAAGGCAATTGATTTCCTGCTTAAACTATAATTAGTTTAAGGCAATACATTTCTTGACGCTCAAACTATAATTAGTTTATGGTAATTCATAACCTGACGCTTAACTATAGTCAGTTAAGGCAACAATAGAATAACGACTAATCATCGTCGGATCGGGGTATTCCTAAACGAGTGATTCTCTAGTTTGGTCTATTGCACATGTTGGAAATGACAGGGCTGGCACGGTACAACATACGGAGTAATTAAGAATAAATCTATTTGTATCCAACAATTGTATCCAAAGATATACCTCGAAGGTTTATATTTACATTTTGTGTTAACATAAGTGCGAGATTGATTGTTTACTTCAATATAAAATATTAGTGTAAAACTTTATGCTCATATTGTTATTTTGTGTCAATGTAAGACTATAAGTCATTAAAGCGTACGTGTAAACTTTTAGAATATATGTTGGAATATAATCTTTGGGATAGACCCTGATTATTAAAGGTTGTGGGATAAATATCCCAACTGAAGAAGGATGTGTTCCGTTCACTTGATCGAATCTAATTTTTTGAAGTCCTGATCTGGTCTGATCTGATTTGATATGAACTTGATTAAAATTAAAATTAAGTTTTTATTATAATAGTTATAATAATTTTTAATAAGTTTTGAATATATATTACATAACAAATCTAATAAAATTATTCTTGTATCAATATATAATCAAAATTTTATTTAATTAATGATCCAAATTTATCAATTTTGAAGACAAAAAAATAAAAACTCCACAATTAGTCTAGGATAGAGGTAGTAATTAGCATGAAAATGAAGTGCAAGAATTTAATTCTGAATTAATTAGAACAAAACTTCATTCGTTCACGGTCAATGGTACCAAACTGTCAATCGGATTCACCGATTCCAGGAAAATTAACCAATGTTTTTTCAAGAATGATTTCAAAAAACGGAGCTTCCGTGTGGCATGTATAGCTAGAGTTTAAAACTCTATGAAAAAAGTGAAATAAAATTTATTAACTAAAGACTAAGGTTCTATTCTAATTCAAACTGACACTACTACTCCTTTGTGGTAAGGGCAGTGAACCTGTAAACCATGACATGATCATAAGTCTCCCCTGCATCAACAAACTGCGAAGGGAAATTTGGGTGATTTACAGAATCAGGAAAGCCCTGTGTCTCCAAGCACAACCCTGCATATTTTTGGTACACGAACCCGCCTTTCCCCTTCGTATCTTTCAACATATTGCTGGTGTAAAACTGAACCCCGGGCTTGTTCGTCCACAGCTCCATTTTCCTCCCTGATTTAGGCTCTTGAACCACAGCCACCTTGTGGAGGTGGCGGTGGCTTCCCTCAGTGGGATCCAACACGTAGTTAATGTCGTAACCGCCGGGTAGCTGGCTCAGCTTGCTGCCGATTTCGTGGGGTTGGAGGAAGTCATATGGTGTTCCTTTTACTGGCTGGATGGCGCCAGTGGGGACGAGGTCATCCTTCACGGGGGTTATGTGGGATCCGAAAATCTGGATGGTGTGGGACAGAATGTGTCCGCTGTCATGGCCAGCAAGGTTCCAGTAGGAGTGTGAGGCTAAATTCACAGGGGTGGCCTTATTCAGAGCCTTGGCTTTCATTCTTATGCCTAGCCTGTTTTTGCCTAGTAGCATGTATGTGACATATACATCCAAGTCACCGGGAAATCCTGCATAGAACAAAAGCAAAAAATGACATGTTACCTTTAGCATTTTTAAAGTTTATCTGAGCCAACAACAACAAACCCAGTTAATCCCACTAAAAGTAGGGTCTGGGGAGGGTGTGGATACGCAAACCCCAAACTCAAGCACCGTTAACAAAAATCAAATCATTATAAAATTATTAAGAACTGCGATGTGAATTATAAATATTGTTCCCAAAGAGATCCGTAACTTATGATTGGAGTAATGAAACCCGGTGGAAGTCTTGATGTCGTGGGTTTCTAACAATTTTTTAATGAGGAAGAGAGATACCTTGGTCTCCGTCGGGACTCTTGTAAGAGAGGGAGAGATGATGATCTTTGATGTACTCTTCCACAGTCCATATAACATCACTGAATCCTATGGCACCACCTGATTTAGGAGAAATCAAGGATTAGCCAAAGGATCTTCTGCCAGAGTACAAGAATTCACCTTACAACTTTACGAGTTACTTCATCTGTTCCTAATTAACTGACCTTTGAAATACATCAAAAGTTGAACGAATATAGACATGATGTATCATGTATGCCAATGTTCATTCAACTTTTGATGTACCTCAATAGTCATAATGGTCAGTTAATTAGGAATGGAGGAAGTGAGTTCTAGATAGCTGCTAGGCGGTATGGGTGGTAGAATATATAGAAACTAGAGAATGAACGAAGAGGAGAGACCGTGGAGAGTGTTGCCATGATCATTCTGAGGCAATTTGTACTCAACTCCATTCAATGTGAATCTCGCTCCCCCGATCCTATTAGCAACGCGCCCAACCAGGGCACCGAAGTAAGTCGAATCATTCTGGAATCACATTTGAATGCGTGTTATTATGTCTACATACAAACAAACACACATACATCCTCCACTCCACACGGCGATCGAAATGCAACTAGTTTCATTTTTACTAAAGCTTCCCATCTTAATCATTAGATAACCAATTGTCTTCTTCTGTTCATTAAGATTCCTCAGCTAGAATTACAAATCTTGAACAAGTCTATGATTATATTGCGAAACATAAAATACCCACACCCTGCAATTCATTATAGACTATATATTTCTAACTTATAGTTTTAGGAGTAGGACGAAATGTTAAATCCAGAAGTTGCCCCATTAGATCAAACAGGCATAGTGACACTAACCTTGTACCCATCAATGGAATCAAACCCGAGAAGCACATCATCCAATTTTCCTGTCCAAACCCAGAAATGATAAGCCCAGATTCAGAGTAAAAAATAAAGGAATTCCAAAAAAAAACCCTTCAATTGTTAATTTTTTTCGAAACTAATATGCATTAATACACAGACCATTTCGATCGGGCAAGACGAGAGAGAGGACAGTGGCGCCATAGTTGGTGATGTTCATAGAGAAGTCGCCATTTTTCAGCTCGTATATTCCCACCTTTTCACTGGCCCCGCAGAATTTACAGCATAGGAAGACGATTCCTGCAAAGAAAAAGAATAAAGAAGGCTTCCCCATTATACTCCGGGTGAAATGCGTACTTCGTAAGTAAATACGAGTACTTAGAATGCAGAGATACTGTGAATCAGATGAGCGAGTGCAGATAAATACGCACGTCAGTATATTTATGCATCCTTATCCTGTCGTTCGTTATTATTAGGATAAGCGCTTTTGGGAGATCCGAGATCTGAGTATTTGATTTGTATACCGGTTACTCCGGTTAGCTCCTTGAATTGGTTAGTCATCATTATCAATTTACTCTCTTCGTTCTTAAATATTTGTCTGACTTGTATTTCCGAGACAAAATATCAAATTTTTTCAATTTATTTTATTTACATATTGGTATAAAAATAAAAAATAAAATTTATATATAAAAAACTATATGAAAAATTCTTCGAAATAAGAAGTAAAAAGGGATTGTTATACTCCGTAATATTATTAAAATATCATTAAATACTCCCTTCCTCCAAGAATTTATTATTGCCCGTTTGACGTTTCTTTATTTTTATGAGTGGTTTACAGAGGCCTTAAAATGACTAAAATATCCTTATTTAGAAAATGGAAATAGAAAAGAAATGCTGGTTGAATAAATAAGAACATAATGACTCTTTGCAATGATGGGGAGGGATATGGGTTTGTTACATCAAATCAACCTTTACACTAGCAAACCATCCAAATAAAGTTTCATATTTTCTCCTTTGTTTTAACTTCCTACCCAAAAAAAGATTTAAAAGCCATTCAAGTGGCTAAGTGTTGCAAACTATAAAACTCCCAGCCCTTTCCTTTTTAGCATGCACTTTCTTCATTCAGTTCTTCTCTTCTTCTTCTTCTTCTAAATGTTGTCTTGGCAGTGAGATTTCTTCATTTTCCTTTTTACCTCTCTATTACCTGGAGCCCTGCACACATACAAAGTAATGAATAATCCTCACATAAACACCAAGAAGTTGGACAACACAACAAGGTAGCTTATTAATGATGCACTACTAACACATTCAAAACAAAATCCAGATGGTTCATACTCAACTCCTCATGGGCAGATCAACAAACATGCTGCACAATTTAATGTGTCTAGAAAAACAGTGAGCAACATATGAGCCATTGCAAAGAAACAATTAGAGCATGGGGTTACCATTGGTGTGAGAAGCAGAATGACAGGAAATAGTGGAAGGAAGGAGTCATGAATTTAAAGGTTGTTGAAAACACTCCCTTCCAAATGAGGACTAATGTAAGAGCATTAGCTGCTGCCATTGACAAGCCTAAGTCAAATGTGCATGAGTGGATAAAAAGTGGTATGCTTAGGAGTCATTCTAAAGCTATCAAACCATATCTAACATATGCAAATAAAATTTCAAGGTTGAGGTTCTGTTTAGATAAGGTAGGACCCTATAACATGCCCATCAACCCTAGGTTTAAGAATTTTCACAATGTTTTACACATTGGTGAGATGTGGTTCTTTATGTCTAAAACTTCCTAGAGATTTTAACTCCTTCAAGATGAACAGAAAATAAAAGTCTAAAATATTCATAGCTAAAGTCATGTTTTTGTGTGTGGTTAGGAGACCTCTTTTTAGGGAGAATGGAGAAGTATTGTGGGATGGCAAAGTTGGGATTTTTCAATTCATAGAAAGACTGGAAGTCAAAAGGAAAAGCAAGAATAGGGAAAAAGGGGTGTTGGAGTGAAACCAATCACTAGTGTTACCAAACAAATCACAAAACATATGCTAATAAGTAAAGTGATTCTAGCTATCCAAGATAAATGGACCCCATAATAATCTAAAGACATAGACATTCAGTAAGATGATTCAAAGCCACACATTCCGGGAGTGACTCAAACTTTATAGCTACATGTAACACAAATGGATTTCATGTCACTCTAGATAACCAACCCCCAAATCCCCAAACCTAAATGTGCTAGACCTTAGATTTTTTAGTCATTTTGTCTTTAAAAGAGTAGTTTGCTCCAGCCTTTATGGCAGAGTTGTAAAAGGTAGTGGGAGGAGCATATAATGCTTTAACTCCAAAAAATCCTAAATAAGGTATACTTGAGTTACCAGCAGGTGTTGACTAAAGTAATGGAACCTGAAGGAGGCAACAAATATAGATTGCCACATATAGGGAAAGACAGACTAGGTATGCGAGGGACACTTCCTAACTCCTTAAGCTATAATGCCCCGAAACCCAGCCTATCAGAATTAATTAATTAAAAATAATTAATTAACAACTGAGATGGACTTGGGAGAAATTATAAATATTCTTCGTTTGACGATAAGGCTTATACTGTTGTGTAGGGTTCGACGGATCGAATCTAATGGTGAAATCAGATTTGGATTTGGAGCCCGTGGGCCTGGAAAGTGCGTTTGGACCAGGTACGTTCAGTTAATACAGAGCCCAAAACCCCAAAAGTATAAATATACTCCCTACATGCCTAAAACCCTCACGCTCTATTCTATTGTACATAACTTCTCCCCACACTCTCTCGTCTCTCTCGATCGAAGGCAGCAGCGGCGCAGGAAGGAGAAGGAGAAGAAGAAGAAGAGAAAGAAGAGAAGGAAGAAGGAAGGAAGGGAAGTCCGTCGTCTACATCGCTAATAGTACTCAGTAATCTTTAATCGTTGAATTTGAGGTGAGTACGTGGACATCTAACGTATGGTTATAGTCATAGGTTTGAATCTTACATTCGTAGAATCATTACGTTTGATCTATTTGGAAATACATAAAATATGTCTTGTTGTTCGTTTGTGATTCGTGAAGCATGAATTAATTTAAGATTATGTTAGAGCTTGTTAGATAATGTTGGATTAATTATTTAGAACCTGTTTAAGCATATTTTTACTGAGATTGATGTTGATTGATGGGTGAAAGCGGAGCTGGTGCAGTCTGGTGTTCGCTGCGACAGACGGTAGGTAGGTACCGTTGACATGGTACCTGGCTACCGCCAGCCTCCTAGGTTCCATCTCTCTCTGTCGGTACCTGTCACCAACGGCACCTAGGTGCCGGATGGGCGGTAGGCCCTACCGCCTGGTCGGTAGAGGCTACCGTGACAGCCTACTGAAGGGGACTCCAGTTGACACGGTCGATACCCCTGTACCGTGGGGACGGTACTGGTCTGAATTTGTTGTTTGTGTCGAGGATCGATTCCGAGACTTTGTGTGTTACATGACGTTAAACATGGGCATTGATACTCATTGTTAGGCTGCTGTTTGAGTATGTTAAATGTGATGAATAATGTTGTATGATGCATGAACATATATGTCATGTGGTATTTGCTTGGTCCAATGGCAGTCCGGGTAAAAACGTGTACACAGGGATCTAAGAACTATCGTTCTGAAGGGGATAGGGATCTCACCCACCTAACGGGGAACTCCCGAGTTGGTTTGAGCTTGACCCTCATTCCGAAGGGGAAGGTCATGACTCTCATAGGCAAGTCGTATACAATTAAGCTTTAACCTAGTATCGGTTAAGAGCCAAGTACAGAAAGAAAGTAAAGTAAACAAGAGGAAAGAATCTGTTATTGTATCCAGAATACTATATCACTTGAATGATGTAATTACTGTTATATTTGATATATTCTATTTGTTGATATGTATGTGTTGATCATGTTGTGTGCATGATAATGTATGAGGATACAGGCTAGTGGGATCATCTATGGGTATAGCTGTATGTTAGATATTTCTCACTTAGCTTCAGTGCTGAGCGTGTAGCCCTTTTTCCTATTTGCTACACGTAGGTAATCCAGGAAATGATGAGCTTGGAGCCAATCCCGGAGGGTGATGGGGAGGCTCAGATGTGCGTGGTGGTGTTCAACGTTTTTGAACTATTATTATTTATTTAAATAACTTATTACTATTTCGGGCATGATTCCCAAGTTGTGTTTTGAATTACGAATTAAGCTTTCGCAACCGTTTTGATTATTACTCCGATGGATATCAAGTTATGTTTTGGAAATGTTATTTAAATTATTTTGAAAGTTAAATGATGTTGGGATACCAATTTAGTAGCAACTCGGTTCGCAGATCTGAGTATTCGGGTTATGCGGGTTGGGGGGTTACATAAGCATTTACCTAAAGTTAATTGAGAAGACAACTACACTACCTATACAACACAATGGGACTACAAATGTAAACATAGTTGAGTTCAATACTGAAGTGGGAGAGGAGTGCATATCTTCATAGCTGAACTGAACACAAGTTTCTATGCATGCTTTTTTTGTTTTTTGGTTTTTGTAAGTGGTTACTACATTTAGTTATTTTTTGGGTTTTGGTTTTTTTATGTGGTAGCCAAAGTGGAGTTTGGCTATTTCTTTGAGATCTGCGCTGATAATCTCCAGAGTCTTGTGCACTGATTTGCTTATTTCTTTGAGATCTGCGCTGTGTTTTCCTTTAGATTTCTCTATGAGCTGGGTGTACCTGACTTCCATTTGCTCTATCTCTTGCCTAAAGGAGGCATGTTGAGATGCTAGGGCTGATTCAATCAGCCCTTGGACCTTCTTTGTCCAGATTTCCGGTATCTCATCCGGAAGTGTAGGGCTGGAAGAGCTATGGAAATGAAAATTGGTTACCTGATGAGAGGATGGTGTTATTTGGAAGAGTTGCATAGGAAGAGATTCAACATCTTCTTGTACATCTTCTTCATCAGTAACCTTTAGTGTTCTTTCAGACTCTCTTTCTACTTCATCAAGCGCAAAATTTGATATATCCTTAGAGAGGGAGTCTCTTTCTTCAGCTGCATTCTGTTCTTCAAAAATGGCTACTGGAGTTTGAGAGACCTCTAGTTCTGCCATTTGAGTTTCCTTTTCAGCTTCTCCAGAATTCCTTTGTGCTTCAACAGCTTGCTCCATTGTTTCTGGAAGAGCTGACTGTTCCGGAATTTCTGCTGACTTCTCCGGGATCTCAATTTCAGTAGGATTGGAGATCTCACAAGGAGTGGTGAGAATCTCCAAAACTTGAGATTGGATTAATTGCTGAAATTCTTCTTCTTCTGCTGTTTCCTGGTTCTGTTCTTGTGGGGGAGAGGTTGCCTTCTCTTCTACAACTTCAGTTAGAACCATTTCAGAAACATGTGAGGTTTCCGGAAGTGTTTGGAAATCTTCAGCTGCTGCTTCCAAAACACCTTGTGCTTCAGAAGTGAAAACCACTTGATCTTCTGTGTCTTTTGAGAAGACTGACTTGAAGACTGCAGGATCTTCATCATCTGCTTCAAAGTCTGAAACCGGTGTGTTGGCCAGGTACTCCAGATGCAAGTCTTCAGGATTCCTTTGCCATACCCAGTAGTCATCCAAAATTTGTTCACAGTTGTGGTTGACTGGTATTCCTAAGCACTTCTTGATGATCTTCTCATTCTTCAGTTGTTGGTCCCAATTCAACAGTTGCTCTGCTGAATTTCCAACTTTCCAGGCTTTCCAATCATAGTAGAGCTGCCAGAATTGGTTATCTGCATCATCTATGTGAGGTTGAGGTGATGAGGTTGGAAGGCTTTGGACTTGAGGAATTTCTTCTTTAAGTTGTTGAGGGCTCCGGTTTTGAGCAGAGGTTTCCTCAGCAGGTTCCTTCTCCTTCAACTCATCCGGATTGACATTTCCAGATGTTGATGGAGAGTTGATCTTCCTCTTCTTCTTCTTCTTCCTTTGAAGTTCTCCATGGTCAGAGACTTCTTCTTCCTCTTCCAAACAGATCAAAGCAAGGTTCTGTGGTGTTTCAACACTTGGAGAGGGAGACACCACATGCTTTCTCTTGGCAGTCTTTGCGAAATTGATGAGTGGAACATTGTCTGATGAGCTTTCTTCTGCAGTGGCACTAGCACTAGCTCTGTTTTCTCCTTTGGAGGATAAGTAGTATAGCCAGTATCTAGCTTCATACTTTTTCCCTTTAACTGCAGCGCCCATATATTCCAAAATATGTCCAATATACAGACCTTGACAGAGATACTTCTGATTGTGCTTTCCTAGATGTTTTGAAATGGATTTGAAAAAGTGTGCAACCCAGTTTACCTTAGTTTTGGTAATGAGAGAGTTGATGATGAAGGCTCTCTCCTGGGTGATGTCATCGGCATGACCTCCACTTCCACACTCGAGGCAAGCGATGACCAGTTCCAAAACCAACTTGTAATCGTTGTTTAGATCTGCTTTCTTCGCTGGGCCAGAAGGAACTTGCCCAGAGATTCCAATGATGTTCCAGTCCAGATTTTTGACTGGAAATTTCCCAACTTCAACTC